GCTGAAGTTGCGTACCTTAGTTCGAATTAGGGGGGTAGTGTAGACCAAGCCTAATAAAGTATAAGCAAAGCTGCAAAGAATTTTTGCTGTCTTGGGCACAAGATGCCTTATGTTTTAAATAAAAACTGCATGCGCAGGACACTGACTATAGTGTTCACAAGGCTATTTGTTCAGTTTATTACCAACACAAACAGAAAAACACTCCAACCGGTTAAAGAGTTATGTTAGTTTGCTTATCATTTCACCCAGCGTTCTGAATATGTGCTCACCGAATACCTCGATGCCCACTGAAGCCAGTGAATTTTGGTACAGAAGTGCTGAAGAACAAGAATGGACAATACTGACTTGTGGTGAAGGGTAAAACTCTCCAAATTCAGAGTTGTGAGAAAGCAGGCATGTACCACAATTAATAACCATCAAATCAATCTAGAGTCATGGAAATCAATTCAAAGCAGCAGTAAAGGGGCTTACTTACCAGTGAAACTTTTTTTTTTTTAAAAGATCTTTGACAAATGCATCTTATGCCTCCAAAAGAAAAACGGATGCCCAATAAGTTCTTTCAGTCAATGGAAGCTCAGCAGGTGACGCAAAGATGAATCATTTAAATAATTTTATCACGGATAGTCTAACCACCTGCTTTATAAATCTTATTACCACAACATTGCTGTAACTGACACAACTCTGAAGAGTAAGACTGTTCTATGTCTTGATGAAAAATTCTTGTTTCAGTCACAGTTCCCTGTTGCATAGGCTAGAATTAGGATATTCTAAACACACACGGGAAGATGACATCTCCTTCAAGTGGCTATCAAAGATTGTTGGTCAAATACCAGAAAAACGGCAAAAGAATTTAATCTAGAACCTGCAAATGTTTTATTATTGGGTTGTGCTGGTATATAGCCTTCCTAAACTATACACTGTAATCAGAGATGGTTTGGGGAGGCTCACACTATTAATTATATTCCATGTGTGTTCTTAAACAAATTGCCACTAGCTGACATGAAGTTAAGTTTGTATTTAATCTACTGAAATGCAAAATATCTTATCTCCTCTGTCCCTGTATAAAAATTACTTGGACTTAAAACAAAACTGGCTTTTTTGTCTTTTTGTTTTACATGAAGTCTAAAAAATGACCCCAAATAATCTTTTCCTACCCTCATTCATGAACAGCAACTACAGTATGTCATCATATCCCTTGTGTCAGATTTCTTAAGCCCTGTCTGTAGCAGATGCTTATGCCCTGTCTGTAGCAGATGCTTAAGCCCTGTCTGTAGCAGATGCTTATGTTGATTCAGGCACACTGGTGGTAGTAACATTGGGAGTCCTTGGTTAGATAGGCCACAAACATTTTTAATGTTGCATCATCTATTCCTTCTAAGAGGGAATCTAATTAACAGGTTGTTAAAAATGCCTCTGGCACCCAGTGGCCTACACTAATGCTCCCATTATTGCTAACTTTATTGGAGCTCAAACAGGATTAGCAACAGGGGGAAATTTTGGAAAAATGTCTTTATTGTAGATCCCCTTTCTACTTTGTCTTTAGTCACTTAACAATAATTCTGCATCTGGCATCCAGATGAACCCCATTACAATCTTTATCACATTCACTATTGCTTGTAGTTTTCAAAGTGTAAAGTTATTTTCCTTTAGACTAGTTTTTGTTTCCTTTTAATTTCTGCTCTGATTCTTGATACATATTGTTTAAAATGTGCCAAGAGATTATCCTAATTTTTGAAAATGTAGTTTCTGAAACAGGGTTTTTCTTCACAGGTTTC